GCTGGGGTGCCCACTTGGGAACCCGTGCCACCCTTCCTGTTGCTTCTGGTATTAATTCTGGGCCGAGGTCTTAGTGGATCTTTTCCTCCATAGGCTTATACAGCTTTTGCTGGAAGGATACAGAGTTCAATTGCCCGGTGTTTAACTGGAAATTGCATGGGGTGTGCTGCGTAGCAGATCAGGCAGCAGAGAAAGGCCACAGAGAATGTGGGGATTCTTTTTTAATCCTACCCCAGAGGAAAATTAGTATGTAAGACATCTTTAAAACACTTTCACCTGGGGAAAAAAAAAGCTCTGGAAAGAGCTGTAGCAGCTTCTGTTTTTTTTTTTTCCCCCCCAAATATTGTTTTCCTCTTTTACTTCAAAGTTAAACTCAGGGCTGATACCTAGAAACAATTGCTTAGCTAACACTGAACCTCAAGCCATGGGGAAGCTGACCCATGGATGCTATGGGATGCCTCTTGTGTCCCACCGCTGGCTGGAAATCATACATTCTATGATTTTATAAGCGCCATGGGTTAAAATTTCCAAGTGGTGATGTTTGTACCCCTTCATATTCATGCACTACAACATGGGCAAGTACAGCTCAGTAAATGTCCCCTGCTAATAGCAATGTATTTCTCCTTGTTACAACCCTGCATGCTGTTCTACTTCCCTCTGCCCATTGGCTTCATAGCCTGCAGATAGTTGTAGCTGTGTCCCCCCCCCCCCCCCCCCCCCAAACAGGGAAAGTTTTGGGGTCTTCTCAGCTGCCATCTGCATCTTGATCCACAGTATATTAAGACTTTACTGGAGTCTCCATCTGGACAGGCAAAATTAGGTCCTTTCTAAATGACTGACAGTTTTATGCCAAACAAAGATATTGTTGGGTTTGTGTGGGGAAATTAAACACAAGAAGTGCACTTCAGTGGCAATCATATCCCTGTCTTCAGCATCTAGGGTAGTGGGGAAGTCTCCTTGAGAGCTGGGGCTTTGGATCTACAGTGATGCTAGAAAGAAAGAAGAAAAAAAATTCCCAAAAAATAGACATAACATGCATTGAATGTGCTCTGGTGCCGAGCTAATATAGGACTGGAAAAAAATCATAAGCCAAAAAGGAACCAGCATGCCAAAGTTACTGAGCAGTCAGCCTGCACTTTCAAGCATGTTTAGAAAATGAAAATGGAAATATCTGACTGCTGTCGTGAGGAAGCTCTCAGGGGAACTGCAGGTTTTCTTCATCTTATTATGGTGCTTCTGTCGTTTCCATCTGTTTCAAATTTGCTACCTCAATGCAGCCTTTGAGTGGGCATCTTCTTGGGTGCTGCCAGCCAATGAACTTTGATTTTGGGATAGAGTGTGGAAAACTGTCAGGTGGTGTTTTTCCAGTTTCATCCCCAAAAGTGACATTACCAATGGACATAGTAAGACTTGTGCAACATAGAGATGAGAAGTGCGTGCATGCTGAAGCTTTGCCTCTCTGCAAAAGTTCAAACAAAGCACAAGTTTTCCATGCCCCTTGGCTGTTGACAGAGCCAAGTGGTAGTCAGCCTGATCTGCTAAACGTGCTGATGAAAGCAAGAGCCTAACAGACAACAATGGGAGCTAGTTTTTCATTTTGCAGCTGAAGTTTGCAATTTATAACTGAAAAGATATGGACCTCAGTACTTCCCTTTTTGGCCGTTTTATTGCTCAGCTTCTTGAGCCATTACCTGGTTAGCAAAAAGGAACAGGGCAAGACATACAGTCTGTGCCTGGTCTGCAGGTTCTCGCCTGTATTTCTCTCTTTCTAAGGTTCTACCAAGCAGTTCTGCTTTTCATCTTCATTGCCTTCAACTCAGCCTGAGCCAACGTTGCACTAGTTGGTTTTCTTCCTTCATTGCCCTAGCATAAATTCACTTGCCATGACATCACAAAGGTCATTTGCATTTGCAAAGGTGAGGCATCTTTGCTCCCTGGCAATGGCTGAACTTTGGCAGGAGGGAGGGCGGGTGGCAGCAGGAGGCTCAGAAAACAAAGTCATGAACTTTGGAGGCAGAAGATCAGAGCTGGAAATGTGCCTGGGGATCTGAGTGCTTACACAGTCCAGTCTGGAGAGCAGAACTGGTAACTTTTTGCATTGTGGTTGTTTACTTACCTGTTTTGCCGCTACCCAGTTGGTCTCCTGACTCATCAGCCTGAATATCCTACTTGAACTTAGTAAGTGGTTAACTCATACGATAAGATAGCTTATATTGCTTAATAGTCTAAACAGTGATTGTACCATAATCTTCAGCAGGGTACTACCTCCGATTATCATGGTGCAGTATCACAGAAACAAACAATCACTGAATAGTTGAGGCTGGAATGGACCTCTGGAGAGCATCTAGTCCACACATGCTCAAGCAGAGTCAGCTAGAGCAGGTTGCCCAGGTCTGTGTCCAGTTGAGTTTTGAATAGGCAAAGTAAGGTTGGCGTTTCCACAACCTCTCTGGGCAACCTGTTTCAGTGTTCAAATACCCTCACAGTGAAAAGGTGTTTTTATATTTTCAGATGAATTTTCCTCTGTTTCAATTTGTGCCCATTGCCTCTTGTCCTGTCTCTGGGTACCACTGAAAAGAGAGGAATCTAGCTCTGATGAGCTGCTGGACATCCTGTGTGAACATGGTACTCCAGAGGGCTAAAAACAGTCGTTTGTGCTAGTTTTGCTTACTATTGCTCATCTTTGTACAGCCCAAAGCAGAGGATGCTTTTAGAAGCTGAGCATCAGGCCCCAAACCATCATGAATTTTAAGTGGTGCTTACCAAAGGTGTCTAGAGGCTGTGACTTGACTATTTAGCTAGACTGAAGGCCGAAAAGCTCAAAGATGTGTTTTCTGTTCTTACTATGATTTTTTTTTAATTCATGCATTGCTTTTTTCCTCCTGATTTAGGTTAGACCACAATTTAGACCCAAGAGCTTGTTTGATCATGACGGCTTGAGTACAGAGGCAAAGGAACGATTGTTGCTTTTGAATGTAAAGAAGCAATCTTTTAGCTTTTCACTTGAAAGACTTTATTCTGTTAGGAATGACAACTAATCTAGCCACAGCTTTCTTCATCTAGGTTTGGTTCATCACACAGAAAAGAAGTCAAAAACTGTCTCCTCAATGGAAGATGACAGTGACCCTGAGCAGAGCTGCTGGGCTGGTTTACCTGATGTCTGTCTAAGGCATGTCTTCCGTTGGCTAGATGACAGGGACAGATCTCGGGCTGCCTTGGTCTGTAAAAAATGGAGTCGGGCCATGTACTCGGGATCCCTCTGGAGAACCAGAACCATCACATTCAATGGTCGACCATCAAGGGCACACACATTTGAATTTGAAACTGCACTGTGGTATGTCAAGAAATTTGGCAAGTATTTGGAGCACCTTGAAATCAAGTTACTGAATCCTTACAATGCTGTCTTGACCCGAAAATTTCAAGTGACTATGAGAGGTCTTCTCTCACACTTGGGTAAATGTAACAGCCGCCTGGTATCCCTGAGCATCCAGCACCTGGAGTTAGACCGCGTGGTCTGGAAAAGCATGGTAAGGGCTCAGTTTATCAAGAACTTAGGAACCTTCCTGAAAAGAATGAGCAAACATCTCGATTATCTCAACTTAAAAGGAGCAAGAGTAACCTTGGAAGAAGGCTGCGAGCTTCTGAATTCTCTGAGCTACTTGAGAAACAAAAGCTTTATATCTGAAGTCAATATTGAAGATTTCTTTAGTCTCCACCTCCCCATCTACAGCAGCACCTTGTTCCACCAAGCTATGTCCAAGTTCCACAACCTGGTCATCCTGACTTTCAATTACAACTGCATCTCTGATGAACTGCTAGACATCCTGTGTAAGCACAGCGCTCATTCCCTCTGTACCCTGAATATCAAATGCCATATCCATGACCCTCATGGGCAAGTGGTCTGGGGGATGTCATGGGCAAACCTGGCCAAGAGAGCCCCACGGCTGAACGTGAACTTCTTCTTTGAAAGAGTCATGAAGCATGATCATCTAGCTAGGATCCTGCTAGTGGAGATCCCAGTCAGGAGCATCAGTTTACGGAGCTGCTATTTCAGTGACCCAGACTGGACAATGAGACCTACTCTTATCAACCTTCTCCCAGCCTACAGGCATGTTCTGCAGGTAGGGGAGCAGTAGTGACATCTTACTGTAACATCACAAAGCTCAGCAAATATTCATACTTATATAGGCCTTCTGCCTAATGGCAGGCATCAACGGGAATGCCTGACCACTGTAGCTGAATGTTCAGAAGGGAAATTTCATAAGAGCCAGCCATTCCAGTGTTCCAGCTAGACTCTAGTGCCGGTAACTAGCTTTGTCCAGTTAAAAGCCTCATCATGCTGTTTCTTGCTAATGTCAGTCTAATGTCACGTTGCCCTTATAAAATGCTAACACCTGAAATACTGGTGGATGTAATATCATCAGTAAGAGCCTTTCAGGCCCTTTTCTGACACTTCAAGAACATGTCATTTTGCAAGAAAGCTTTGGCCCTATCCTTGACCTGCAACTTTATACTAGTTTAGTAACTGATAACT